CCAGGAGAGAGGGACCGCCCCGCATTGGACCCAGTCTCCACCGGGAACCCCAAACCCCTCCGGGTCTCCACCACCCGCCCCGGCCCGGTCCCCAAAGACCCGGGCCCAGCCCCGCCCCCACCTGGCTCGGTCCCGCTCCCGGTGCCGGTCCCGCTCTCCGCCCGGCGCGGCGGTGACGTCACGGCAGCGCCGTGCGCGGGGGCTGCCGGGAGTTGTAGTTCCGTGGAGGAGCGGGCGGTGACTCCCCCTGGTGGAGGGGCACGGTACCGCCGGGACACCCCCGGGACCCCGCCAAGACCCCCGGTCCGGCCCCGCTCCCGGTGCCGCAGGAAGCTCCGGGCTTTGTCGGCCGCGGCCGGGACCGCAGGAAGCATCTGGTTTCCTCTACGTCCGGCCGGAGRGGTGCCAGGGGCTCGGCGTGGGAGCAAGCACTGCCTGCCCTCCCACGGCTGCGGGGACCGCGCCGTTCCCACCCCCCCATCGGGACAGCCCCGGTGCCTTTCCCGGAGTCCTGCGCAGGGCACACGAGTCTGTGATTCCTTGCCAAACCCCGTGCCAGTGCAGGGGTCTGGTGGCAGCTGGGGTTGAGCCACTGGAACTCCCCAAAGCCCCCCGCCTGCTCCAGCCTCTGTGGCTCTTGAGTCTGCTCCAACCCGCCCGGCTCCGCTGCGCTCTGATTCCTTTGTAGGTCTGAACAAATGAGATGCTAATAGCACATAATTACCCCTCCGGCCACCTCCAGCTCCCCCAAAACCCACCCCAGGCTCCAGAGCCGCGCCCCGCCACACCAGCACACAGCAGTGCCAGGATCTGGGTCGGTAACTGGTGGAGGAGATAAAAAGCTACAAAGAGATGGCTTTATTGGGCAGGGGGGAGTCCCGGATCGGCCGTGGGGAGGGGGCTGCCCCAGGAAGGGGCAGCAGGACATCAATTTCTCTTCCTGCCCTTGCCGACAGCCTTGGCAGGAGCAGCGACGGGCGCTGTGGACTGGTAGAGAGTGGAGGAGATCTTGTTGATGTAGTAGAGGCCGACCATGGAGAAGATGAGGCTGCAAAAGGAAAAGGCTGCTCAGCTGGAGGGGGCAGGAACACGGCAGGGTCACCCCAACACCTTCCTTGGGATCCCACTCTTCCTGCCCTTCATAAATCAACATCTTCCCTGGGATCCCATTCCCCTGCCCCACCTAAACCAACACTTTCCCCTGGGATCCCACTCTTTCTGCCCTTCCTAAATCAACACTTTCCTTTTGGATCCCACTCCCCTTCTTTCCTAAACACTTTTCCTGAGATCCCACTCTTCCTGCCCTTCCTAAACCAACACTTTCCCTGGGATCCCATTCCCCTGCCCCACCTAAACCAACACTTTCCCCTGGGATCCCACTCTTTCTGCCCTTCCTAAATCAGCATTTTCTCTTTGGATCCTACTCCTCTGCCTTTCTTAAACACCCTCCCTTGGATCCCACTGTACTGCCCTTCCCAAATCAACACTTTCCCTTTGGATCCCACTCCCCTGCCCCTCCTAAACCAACACTTTCCCTTTGGATCCCACTCCCATGCCCTTCCTAAACACTCTTCCTGAGATCCTACTGCTCTGCCCTTTCTAAATTAACACTTTCTCCTTAGATCCCACTCCCCTGCCCTTCCTAAACACCCTTCCTTGGGATCCCACTCCCCTGCCCCTCCTAAACCAACACTTTCCCTTTAGATCCCACTCTTTCTGCCCTTCCTAAATCAACACTTTCTCTTTGGATCCCACTCCCCTGCCCTTCCTAAACACTCTTCCTGGGATCCCACTGCTCTGCCCTTTCTAAATTAACACTTTCTCCTTAGATCCCACTCCCCTGCCCTTCCTAAACATCCATCCCTGGGATCCCACTCCCCTGCCCCTCCTAAACCAACACTTTCCCTTTGGATCCCACTCCCATGCCCTTCCTAAACACTCTTCCTGAGATCCTACTGCTCTGCCCTTTCTAAATTAACACTTTCTCCTTAGATCCCACTCCCCTGCCCTTCCTAAACACCCTTCCTTGGGATCCCACTCCCCTGCCCCTCCCCTTTCTAAACCAACACCTCCCCTTGGATCCCACTCCCCTGCCCCTCCTAAACCAACACTTTCCCTTTAGATCCCACTCTTTCTGCCCTTCCTAAATCAACACTTTCTCTTTGGATCCCACTCCCCTGCCCTTCCTAAACACTCTTCCTTGGATCCCACTGCTCTGCCCCTTCTAAATTAACACTTTCTCCTTAGATCCCACTCCCCTGCCCTTCCTAAACCAACACTTCCCCCTGATATCCCACTCTTCCTGCCTTTCCTAAACATCCATCCCTTGGATCCCACTCCCCTGCCCATCCTAAACCAACACTTTCCCCTGGATCCCACTCTTCCTGCCCTTCCTAAACCAACACCTTCTCTTTGGATCCCACTCCCTACCCTTCCTAAAACAATACTTTTCCCTTGGATCCCACTCCCTACCCTTCCTAAAACACTTTTCCCTTAGATCCCACTCTTCCTGCCTCTCCTAAACCAACACTTCCCCCTTAGATCCCACTCCTGCCTTTCCTAAACCCTCTCCCTTGGATCCCCCTGTGCTGCCATTCCCACAGCCTCCTGAGGGTCCCTGCTACTCCTGGCCCTGCCCAGCATCCTGTCCCACTCCCACTGCCACCCGTGACCCCTCAGGGTCCCCTTGGCCACTCCCCACCCTCCAGGTCAGCCCTGGACGTACCAAGTGGTCACACAGACACGATGGATGAGGCCAGAGGCAAACAGGGCCAGCAAGAGGCAGGTGAGGACTGTGGAAAACAGGAGAAAACATGATGCTGCAGGGCTTGGTAATTGAGGGGGTCACGACTGCAGCAGCACAATTCCCACTCCTCCAGGCCCAGAAAAAGCTCAGGGGGAGCTGCCACAGTTCCAGGGCAGGGTTGGGACCCTCCAGTCCCACCCTTGGAGCACCCCCAGCCCAGCCAGAGGACTTTGGACACAGATTTGTTCTCACTTCCCTCCTGGGCCCCTGCAGGACTTACTCTCGGGGAATATCTTGGCCTGGAAGCCTTTCCCAAAGATGAGGTTCTCCAGGTTGTTGAAGGCCTGGTTTTAGGGTTAAGGGATGGAACGGCACCCTGCTGTC